CAATGATTAAACTTGCATCCTCCTTAATGTGAGGCATGTTTTCTACCAACATTAGATTTAGTGAAATACAACCAAATTGTTCCCAAGTAGAATAAGTTGCCAATTTAAGAATTAGTCACAGTACAATCTATTTAAATTTTTGAATTCTTTGTCACCATTTGATTGCAGAATGGATTCTGCATATCACTAAACCTTTTCTTTATTTGTAATATTGCATCTTGAAATATTTCTCAACTTTTAAAACTATCAAAATTCTTCTCTAATGTTTCTTCTCTAATGGCCTAATGTAGATAAAAGGTGCCTATTATTTATTGTTGAGGAACTTGAAGCTATCTTTTTGTCTGTGTGTCTGTTATTTGTCTTGAAATGTCTTTACCTAGCAGCAATTCCTCCTTGTCGAAGATTGGACACTCTTGGTTTTCCATCTTTGTCTGTTCCACCAGATACTGTAAGTCCCAAAGTAGTGCCCTCTTTCTTTATCAGTTCAACTATTGTTGAGCCTTTGAATTCCTCTGTTGAAAAAAAAAAATTACCATTAAAACGGTTTACACTTTAAACTGTAATTTCAGTTACAGTTTATATTGCAAACTATAATTTCAGAAACAATGTAATTTCCATAAAGATTAAAAATGTTTTTGTATTGTATTTGTTTTTTCAAATACAATGATGAAATGGATTCTATTCCCCCAAATTTTATTTCACAATAAATTTGCTAGCTTTTAAGATATTATTTTGTTGTAAGAATTTTGTATGCTTTGAGAGATCTACTACACTTAAACCACTACACTGTGTTTTAATGTCATAACAATGACTTAGTCCTGAGAAATAAGTCAGTAAACAGATTCTATTGTTTGCAGCTTCCAGAATGAAAAAAAAGTGCTAGGTTATTTTTAAAGATTATATACAACATAATACTACTTCTAGTTAAATCAATGGACAAAATACATTTAATTTAATCCAAATAAAAAAAATTAAACATATATCTCTCTGAACAAATGACAGTTTGTAAATAAAATAAAAAATATTTTGACAAAACCTTAAATTGCTAATCTGGTAATCTTCTTACTTTGAAAAAAAATCTAATGAAAAACTCAAGTGTAGGCTTTTCCATTTCACCCCCCAAAATCACATCCCTTAGCATAATCCTGTCCTAAGTAATGAAATCCATTAAGGTTTTCTATCTTAATCTTAATTATAATGAAATAATCCAATTCAATAGGAGTTACTACTACTATAAATAGAATTGCAAAGTTGAAGAGCTGGTACCTATTGAAATACCATATATATTGTGTATAGATGTCTAGCACAAAGTCTCAGATTGTCCTTCTAATAATTATTTTATTTCATCATTTATATTTGTTTTTGTTTATTTTTAAAATGTGTGTTACATATAAAAGCTTAAAACACATGACTAACCATAAAAATTGATTCAACAACAATGTTAGCACTCTTATTCTGCATTTCTGATTTCCAAGGTCTAGTGGCCATTTTGTATATTGATAAATGGAAAAAGGTATTCCAGAGATTCAGAAATTTTGATTACAAGTGTTCATATGGGACACTTGAAATTTCCAACAATGATTATCACATGTTTTTTTTGCAGCCAAAATATAAGCAATTATTAAAAATGCATATTTTAGAGCTTTATATGAAAATACACAGGATAGCCCTTGCCCAAATCTAAGTTCCATAGATTGCCATAAGAATTTCCTACTATTAAAACTGTTGATTACACACACAACAGGAGGAAAACCTTCTAAAATAGCAAGAGAAGAATTGAGATTACAGGATTTGCTTTCTCTTATAGTCTTTTCTGTACTTTTACATTTCTAACCATGATGATGTCAAAATTATGAAACACGTGTTATGACATTGCATCCATTGCCCTTTCAGACTTCCTCTAGCAAATTTTGTGTAATCAAACAAATAAACAACATTAAACAACCCAATTATTGAGCTTAAATGTTCTCAATATTTCCTTATAAATCAGATTCATTGCAGCCACATTTTTCAATTACATTGTTTTGTTAGTTTATTCGAGCTAATTTAGTAAGACCTGGGTTAAACCTGCATTTTTCTGCACAATTATATAAGAGTAAGTTCTACTGAAATACGTGAAACGTACATAAATAAACATGGGGAGCACTGAGCTATGCAGAAAGATTAATCATTTGATCCATAGCTTACTATGACATTTACTTATTTTTATATGCTGAAGTAGTTCTGGCATGTAATCTTCTGGCAATGAAAGGAAGACACTCAATGATAAAAAAGGTTAATCTGGCAGAAGTTATTTGATTCAAAGGGTTCATGTAAAATTACCATAAGACTAAGAGACATATCTTTTTCTAATTTGTTCCTCACGTACACAATCAGACAAAAAATAAAAATAGAATTTTGTATGCTGAAAGCATTGTTTATTTTAAAAACCCACCATCCCTTTTGAAGGAACAGATATGATTTAAAGAGGTATTTTGCTCCAGAAGTTGGAATATGCCAATAAATGTATAATTGAACTGAATTTTCCAGTAGCTTCAAGATGCACGGGCAGTGATAAGAAATGCTGGGATATGTTGTTTAGTAACATCTAGGTCTACAGTTTCTCTGCCCTAGCCTTCATTGTTTTTAAATTGAGTAGAGAAAATACTTATATTAAATTCGATACAATTTTGTACTTTAAATGAAAAATACATTAGCCTTAAAATATCTTTTCTGCGCACCCTAAAAAAAACATTTTTCAGAGTATAAGATGCACCAAGGTTTTGAAGAGGCAAATTTTTAAAAAAGTAGGTAGGTAGATAGAGAGATAGAGAGGGAGAGAAAGAGAAAGAGAGAGAATACAGTAGGTAGGTAGGGAGAGAGAGAGAGTAGGTAGGTAGATAAAGGGATATATATAGAGAGAAATAGAATAGCAATAGCAATAGCAATAGCAATTAGACTT